TCAAACGAGGGATCATCCGGCATGCAAATTAAATTGGGCTTGCTGTAGGAATGGTTGCTTTTAAATCTAAAGTACAGCTTCCGAACCGGCTGATGAGGGTTCCGAACTTGACAGAACAACTTCCAATCGGGTAACGAATTAACGCGCCAGTGCACTCAAATACAGCGGACAAACATCGTACAGAGACGGTTTCCATTAGACACGCGATTCATTTGTTCGGCTTCAATGACGACATCTTGTCTGGCAATGGACGCGTTTGCGAACTCGCATCTGTTTATCTATCAGTTCCTCTCACTCTTGGAAAAGGCTGACATGACGTGCGCATTAATTTCGTATTCGCTGCTATTCAACTATCCACGCTGATATCCCATACTTTGATATATCTGACGGTTGCTTCACCAGGCAAGCTCACTTGGTCCTACAATGCGTTTTCCAAATATCCTAGTTTTCCGAACAAAGAATTTGTATCTACAGTATCTCAGGCTGATCATGAAAGAGTACGGCGCAGCGAATACCAGCACGAAAGGACCATACGTTGAACATATCACTCGGGCATGGCCCACTGGTAGCCGGTCCCGTGTCACTCCCTTGCGCTAGACATCAGATATCGCTTCAACCCCCGTACGAACACACAAATTTACGTATGTGCATACATATTTTGGAAACACTGTGAATACTCACATGTGCCTACGCGCTGCCAGTGACGTGCTATACAACCAGGTGCGTAAAAAATAGGCCAGCAACGTGATCGAAACATGTCATATTTTCTAGACAATTAGGAAAATGTACACGCATATGTCGAATAGCATTACGACATCCCACAACGCTGATATCCTTGGTGGCTGCTTTGGCAATTCGTTCAAGGAACTGCAGCCTCCATTCCATCTGCGTCATGAGTTTCTGGGGATCCCCGGCCAGAAGTTCCTCGTAGTGCACTCTCATCTCATTCTTCACTCTGGTCTTCACCACCTGCTAAACATTCTCGATCGGATTGAGGAACGGAGAGTATGGGCTCAATCTCAGTATGGTTACTCCCTGGTATCCATCTACTGACGACAGTTCTTTCAGTTGTGTGTGACATGGTGCATTATCACATACCACGACAACCTGTCGGAGCTCCATCTCCCGTTTCAGGTGGTCTAAATAGCTTCGCAGCCTTTCGAGAGATAGGGGACCTGTGAATAAGCCTCTCCAGGTGGTCATCGACACTTTCCCTTCCATGGTGAGTGCACCGATCAAATGCAAATTGAGGCCTCTACTGTTGGCAACTTCGCAACGGGCCCTCACTCCTCTGGGCGCCCGACCACGAGTAAACGTTGAATTACGCTTCGTCAATCAAAATTAAGAACTTGACATCGCTCTCAAGTTGGAGAAACTGCTGAATCAATTCCCTGCGTATCCCTTTGGTTCGCTCATTGATCATTCCCTCGGGAACCTGATAGATATTCTTCATAGTTATCAATCGACCATTTAGGTACCGTGCGGTTGTTGACTTCGAAATATCCTTGTCCATTTCTGCTCGTACTCGCATTTCCCGTAGCTTAAGAGTTGAGTCCCTTGTGATCCAATTCAGGATGTCATCTACGTCTTCCTCCGACAGAATCCGATTACGACCGCGCGCCTGCGTAGTACTCGGCTCCTGATCAACAGAACGACGAATCCAGGAGTAGGCTGTTTGATATTTGACGTTGTTCACAGTTGCCACCAGCTGCCAGTCATCACCGTTGACGAGGGCACCCAAAACTCGATCATGAACCTCTGATCAGATACTCTGTCGAACGCAAGAAGGCATGCCGACGACGTTAGTATCATGGTTTCAGTCATGCGCTTATGTTCCAGTTGTTCATTGCTCTCAGATCAATTGTGACCCACCGTTTCGGACGTGAGGGGGGCGCATACAAGCCCGTTGCACCGCCGAAGTGCATGCCTCTAAGGTTCATTCACAAGTCTCACTCAGTCAACGGGCAGCGTGCTCACTTCCCCAGACTAACGCACCGAACCTTGGCATCCGGTCAATAAGAACACACTTAAGATCAGAGGATTGGCTCTGAGCGGCTGGCGAATCGCACAGGGTTTTGCAAAATTTTGCGCATCCTTTGCAAAATTTTGGACGTTTTATGCAATTTTGCGGGAAATTCTATAGAATGGTCTTTTTCCATTCTTTTTCGAATAAGGAAATATATTCTTCTAGGATAAATTTGTCACTATCTAGAGAAGCCGAACAAATAGCTTCGAAATTGTTGAGGGTTATCAACGCGTTTTGAATCTTCACTTCAGTTGGAACCTAAGCTACATACTATGGTTCAACCCGCGCCACGTGTACACGAAGCGGCTCGGAGATAAGGTACATTTGAACTGCTCCTGAAGTACTCTGTCTCACGAGGCTGGTTGCGTTCATCTGTGAGCTGGGTTTGCGCGGCTTTCATGGTTGCCTTAGTGACACCTGAGACCAGTGGCACGGATAAGTTAGAAAAGCTCATCACTCCTACCTATTGATGAGTTCTGCTTTAACTCGCGCCTGGAAACCCGTTTGGTTGCATTGTTCTCAGCGTAGACAGGAATTCTTCTGGATTTCATTAAGTCCATCGACCCTTTGTGCACCCAACCGGCCCGTAATCTTATGGATCGCAAGCCCGCCTTGTAATCTGAGAGCGCAGGTTCGAGTCTGCGAAATGACCGGGCGACCCTCGCAGTATCCTCGGCCCACATGAGATTGGTGGTGGTTGCGCGACAACTAAACTTCGGTACTGCGTACCGGCGTACTGCTTATGCAGTGATGACTACTACTGCCGCATATCTAATCTCCGCGTCGTGGGTGGCAGCAAAAGTACTTTTCCGTGGAATGTCGATTTTCTCTTAGATATCAGGTGAAGCTTAGCACGCATGCACCCTGGTAGGCTTGTGTGCTCATGGGCTTACAGCATCTCTGTTACTCGGAAAGGTACAAGAAAATTTAGCAGCATATCAGGACATGACCAGAATCGACGCGTATCTAAGATGAGTAGCAGCCTTGAGTGGGATCAAATCCCATTAAGATTATAACGATTTATTCAGTTTAGGTTCACTGCTGGCCAGCTGTGGGAGGGAGAAAACGTCGAATGGGGAATTGGCGTTCATTATATCCGAAGGTAGTGTAGCCCGGCTACCAGAAATTAAGCCCCCGAACATCTCAGCCGACTTACTTTCTGACGACTTTAGACGACCTACTTGTGCATTTATGTATTTTAAAGCCAGAACTATTTCCGAGCCAGGGGCAATGAGTAATAACTTGATAAATTCGTGGTAACATGTACCTTTAGTAGAATCAGGACTGCGGTTGGTTGGGGCTTTTCCTTGCGCTAATCTTGGTTTACGTTGCTAGACGTATGCTGTTCGCAAGAATCCAGCTGTAGAGCCGAGAACGATGTCTATTTTGGTTCTAAGGGGAGTGCCGCATCAGCGGACGCTGATATTAAAATAACATGCTAGTCGCAGGCAATTCGACAACTATGTGTAGGTTATGAACCCTAACTTAGGGCACGAGCCAACTTTTATTATTTCCAGGGTATGCCTAACTGCAATCCGGTGGTCCATCTATCTAAGCATATGACCGAAGAGACTGGGAAGCCTGACCAGATAGAGCTCCTGATGGTAGCAGACTAATGTGCATTGTGGTAACGAAATCTGTAGACGCAGGTGCTTTACTGGTGCTGCAGGTCTCTTGTAGAGGAACTTGGCAATAGAAGCTTGGAAAGCTGCAAGAGAAACCGACTAAAAAAGATGAAGGAATCAACAGTATCATATTCGCGGCCATCCACATTGTGGTATGCAGAAGATGAGGTGTTTCTTTTGAGGCTGGATTTTGTTGGGAAAGTTATGGTCGTATGCGAACCGAGACACATCAAAGCTTCTAAACATAGAACAAATAGTATTCTCACTGTATTTGGCTCAAATGCCCAGCTGTAAAGCAGTGGGAAGATGGCAGTGGTCCTTAAGCTGGGTAGTTTATACAGTAACTGATACCACACCAGTTCCAAATCTGGTTACGGAGTACCGGTAGACCGACTTCGGTTGGCCTCTAACCGTCGACAAATCTGGTAGCATTGGCTCACCATGTAACTCAGCTCAATGAACTGGAGCTACCAAGACGTTTCACTGTATCTGCTCAAGGTAAGTGTTTTCTTATTAATAGCCTGCTACTTATTCTACTCCAATATGGCCTGAGCACTAGTCTGGTGAGTCCAATTGCCTCAAGTGACAACGCCACAATGCAGTAAACTAGCGGCATTGGTAAAAGCGAGGGTAATGTTAGGCGCAAAATATTCCTTTGAAGAGTTTATAAAATTCAGAGCAGTTATAAGCGAGGCACCAGCCTCCCAATGGGTGTTGGAAGTTGATCGGGCTAAGTTTAGGGATGCACGCGCCAGGGTTCACAGTGTTCGGATTATCGGTCTGCCCCGCCGTCGCAGCTAGTCCCATCAGAATCAATCAGCACATTTAGGCATACGTTTGCTCGTTTTCCCTCACTCTCATTATCACGCATTTCAAATTGCTTAGTGGAACTAGCTGATGCTGAAAAATTCGGTCCTTCACCAGCAACAGCTTAAGTTAAACTAGGGAAATGGTCAAGGAAAACAACACTACTCCGCAAATCGTTTCGATATATATCAGTATAAAAATATAACACTAGGAATACAGGTTGGCATTCGGAAAGGCTTTTTCCACTTGTTTTTAATATCACCATCTCCTTACTTTTGGGATGGCTCGCTTGAAGCCACCTGGTTTTGGTGTTTTGTGTCGATGCGGCGGAAAAGACTCCGGCTAAAACACAACACCTCATGTATCGCCGAGTGGCTGTTGCCACTAATTTAGTACACAATGAGAAGTGCTATCTTACTGATTTATTAGCTGAGGCCGATACGGAAGTTCAAGTCGACCAGGCAAAATGCTTCGATCAGCTCTTGTCTGAGAGTTAGAAATGTACACCTCAATTTCCTCGAATTTAACGTTTTGCATTTCAGTACCACCATCGTTACGCACCCTGATGCCAAATTTTCCCGGAAAACGGAGGAATCGCTGGCGAAAAGCCAACTTAAACGTCGGCTCCACAGAAAAACCGAAAAACACCAACATTCGTCGCTCAAAGAAAAAGGCACAAGCTTGTTCGTTGCAAGCGAAGCACAAATATGCCAAAAAAGTAAGCTTATGCCTAAGGTAACTTCGTCCTGCGTCAAACACTTATGCCTGCCTAGCTCGACCACCCATTTGTGACTTTGTAACCGGCATACAACAAAAGGGGTTCCAATAATTTAGTAGCTGGAATACATAGAACAAAGTTTTACGACAAGCAACTGGACGAAGAGGACGCTTGAAACCGGGGGGAAAGGTATCAGCGGTACGCCGTACTGACGCTCCGTCGTCACTTGTCCACCACGGTCCAGAGACACTGCGAGCTCAGCGACATCTTTGGATTACAAAGCAGACGACTCATACAAATCGGTCACCAGCCGGATAGGGATAGACCGTTCGGCTAAAATATTCGAATTAGATCGTGTCTCAACATTTTCCGAGCGTCCATGGCCAGTTCGTGCCTGGTGGTGTTTTCGATGCTCAACCCGTTCGAATTTATCCGGGCAGACCCAATTATCGATACACCCTCAGTAGTCTCATCGTACCTGCGATAACAGGGCGAGCAATCAAATGTATTCAAAAAGTCACTACGGCCGTGTTGCTCTCCTATACACTGTCATTTACCACTGAGGTAATACACTTCCTTCTCCACATATGTGTGAAAAGGTGACATATACGCGTCGTAACATCAGGCGATCCAATCACCAGAGGCGATCATACGGTTATTCCGGGACCATAAGGGCGATGAATTGCTCCGCACTGCGCAGCTCAGATGAGACACGGCTTGGCATTTGCCCTGATTTATTGCATGACGACAACAAAGTGTTCATGGTCCGATTGACGAAGCGGCTGTTGTCTGTGTCGGGATATTTTGCGGAATTGTTACGCCACCCAATGGAGGTCGCCGATGCTGCTGTATAAATCAGTGATGTGATCATCTTTGTCAAGTGAACGTTACCACAAGTGTGCAGGAAATGTGCATCTAATGATGCCACATCTTAAGTGCACCGGTCACCTAAGTATTGTGCATGCTTGCTTGTTAAACGCGGCCATATGGGCTCGCAAGCTAACGTTCCTCGCACGCCTGGAATGGGTATCTAAGTGTCTAGCGGCCCAGGAGTTCTTCAGTTGATACCCTGTGTTTTACGTACAAGCGGCTCAGAGTAAGTGATGATAAATCAGTGATAGTGCCTAGGAGCTCCGCACCGCACAGGTGGGCGCGGGTCAGACACCAGTTCAGTTCAGTGGAGCAACTATGATCAAGGTACCCAGTTACCACGGCTTACTTGGCCAGGATAATGACTGCGGTGGGGAAAATGGGAACGGAATACAAATAAAAGGAAGTTAAGAAAAAAATGCGTAAAGTTAGTAAAGAGGGAATAAATAGTAGTAGCTAGATTCAAGAAACCTAATGCAGGAGCGCCACTTACCAGTGTTGTGGACCATCCCAGGCCGCCATCTACGAAGACGGCCTGACCAAGTCTCTCAGTCAATTTCTTCATGTCACGTCATCGACTGACCACTTTGCGAAGCCACAGCGCAGAGTGCACGCCGAGGAAGCTGGTCGACCGGCACTCGGAGGATGTGACCAAGTCACCGTAAGCGATTGAGCTTCGGCACATTCCAGTGAGGCACCAGGGAGTTTTTTTGCCAAAAACCAACTGGCGATCCTCCACAGTGCTTATCCGGTGTTCCCACCAGATGTGAGCAATACTCTACAAGCACCAGTGATCAAACACGGCCAATTGTTTAATGTCTTCATCGCAGCTGGCCAGTAACACCGGCCTTATCCTAGTGTTATACACCCTACTCTTCACTTACAGACTACTATCTCGCTGTCTCCAGAGATAGTTGAGCATCTGGAAAGCCCCACGGACCTTGCTGATATGCGAAGTAACTTCTTCAGATGTGACACGGCTATCAAGTTAAGTGAATCAATCCACTGCTTCCAGTGGCTGTTCGGTGATAGTTAAAACCGGTGGCATATCGGTACAGTTCTGCAACAGTGCTTTGCACTTCGAAGGTGCAAAGCGTAGTGATACACACAAGTCTATTCAGTAGTGCTTGCGTTGCCACTGCATCCGACTCAAGAAGAGCTACGTCATCCGCACATTAAAGGTTTGGCAGAAGTTCCACTCCAGAAGAAGCTGAAAGGACGGAGCCATTTATCATTTGAATCGCAACATTAAAGAGGAAGATATAGGAGAGGTTTGGTAGGTTTCACTTATCGTGAGGAACTCAGGGGACATCTTCATACTGACCCATATCTGTTCTTGGGACCTATGATAAAGCGAATACAAAGCGGAAAGGATTTTCCCTGGCAGGTTGAGGTGATTAACAGGTGAAAGCGGTTATGTCCGATTTTTGACCTAATTTGAGATTTCCATTCCTATGATCCTGCAAACTATGATGGATTCGTGCAGATATTGAAATGTCACCTTGTACTGTACTTTCTCCCTATTTTCGTTTTGCTATGATATAGTCATAAATTAGCGGGAAAATGAATTTACGTGAATTCATCACGCCTCATTATATTAGTAAATAAATTTTTCTTTTTTCAGCGCAAAGCACAAGATCCACTGTTTTCATTCAAGCGGAAAAAAACTCGTGTGCAATTATGTACAGTATGAGAAGCTTTAATACACCACGTTCCACATTGCAACCCACTTTGAAATTCTATGTGCGTTGAAGTTATTTTGGGGGTGAATTGTTAGACGCGGTCAACTGCGGTTATGCCATGGTCGTTCCATGGTAGAATTTACTCCCATGGGAGCGGTACACAAGCGACGACGTGTGGTGGAAAGAATGGAGTTCGACCTTGCGTAGAATACCGTGTGGTAGACTTCGAGAAAGAGATGCTATGGATCGTTAGGCTTCTTCACTTTGTTTGGGACCAATCTCGCCGACGTGGGGAAGAGGACTTGTTTGCATGTGATCTCCATTAACCTAGATCAGAATTAGAAATCTTATGGTACAGAATAGTCAATGATGTGCCATCTCCTCGTGACTGACTGGTGCATTGCACATACACTTGAGTCCCGCGATTGCGATACTTCGTTCTTCGTCTACGAACATTCTTTAATGGTGGAAACATGAAGTGTCACGATGGGGGGGGATAGTGAATGTTGTCAAAAATGGACGCGAACAGTGTATCTTGGATTGTTGTTTCCCATCGTTCGTTTTAGGGCACGTATGCACCAAGTTTACCATCATGGGATCCGGTCGCCACCTACAAAGGTCGATTCGAAGAATCATTGGTCAATACGTAGCATACAAACATCAAAATACTCCAATTTTGTTTGGTTGCATCGTGAATTTGCTTTTCCGTCGATCACCTACTCGAGAGTCGAGGCGCTAATAAGGCTATAAACACACCTCAAGCTATGGCAGGACAAGTTAGTTTTTTGCTTAGGACGTAAGCGAATCAACAAATCATCACCATCAGCACACGAGTACAATATAATACGACTAGTAATTAGGAATGCTAGGACGAGTGGAAAAGAGCTTCATCCTGGCGAAGCACTGTATTCCAGCAACTTTGTGCTGTAATTCTGGGAAGCATTGGGCCCCTGTTCGACAAAGGAACAAACGAAAGGCGTATGAACTGAGCAATCAGTCCCCGGCTCCCAATGGGCGCGATTCCCTGAATTCGCTCCGCTGACTTGCGGGTAGGCTAATCAGCCAACGACTCGGGGTGGTGTCCCCTAAGTCAACACCTTACTTCGGTTTGGGCGACCAGGTAGTATCTCGCCCTCTGACGAAACCTTGGACTTTAATGTGTTGTTTTCTTTTACAGCTTCTATACCTTCTTTTGTGTTTTATGGTTTATGATGGCTCTATGTCTATTTATAGACTGTTGCAGATATATATATATATATATATATATATATATATATATCCAGAAGTTACTCAAAAAATGCTACAAACGCAATAAAGTTAACGAAGATAACCACAATTAGCGTAAGCAACGTGGCCAGATTAGTCAGGTAGCCAGAATAACAAATAGTTTAAGGCTAAACCAACTTACAATTAAACTAGGTCTTTTTAAGCTGGATAAATTTCATTCCACTTTATTTGGTTTGTTCTGCCTACCTGACTAATCTTCTATTAACTGGCCACGTTGCTTACGCTAATTGTGGTTATCTTCGTTAACTTTATTGCGTTTGTAGCATTTTTTGAGTAACTCCTGGACATTTTGTACTTATCGCGGATTCGTTGCTAACAAACATACTTCATATGCTAATTTGGAGTAGTTATATCTGCATGGCTGTATTCTTTGACAGATATCTTTTATTTGATAAGGTCATTGGAAGTGATTGGCTGTTGCTTGATATCCCCGATGTGGCTGCGCTTGATGTGCATGTAGACAAGGTGCCTACCTGTCTATTACCCACTACTTCGTCCATACTGGCTCCAGGAGACAGTTGGTCGTTGCTGGAGGGGACGGGGTGCACGGTCCTTGTGGCCATGCTAGGCTCAAAGAATGGTTCCATGCACTCAGTGTGGAGCGGACTACGGTCCAGCCACCGCCTTGTGTGCGCTTGATTCCCCAAATACAGTGTGCTTGTGTTTGCCTGTGAAGGAGTGTGGGCCGGCTCCGTTGATGAAACGTGGCTCCCATCCACATGCCTCCCGGTCTTATTCCTTCGGGTTTACACTGGATATGGGGTGTGTGGTTGGAGCTGTGGGTGGTGCAGCGCAAGCCACCCATGGTCCCTCTGTAGGCGCAGGCGTCCTGTGGCTGGCCACAGTGACAGGCAAATCCGAAACCGGATGCCGCCAATCATGTATGTATGCGTGCCCCATGCTGAGGCTGATGTTGCATTCTTGATGCTTCTTCACCGCAGTTGGGCTATACCAACTTACTCTTAAACTGGGTCTCTTTAAGCTGCATAAATTTCATTCCACTCTATTTGGTTTGTTTTGCCTATCTGGATAGTCTTCTATTAGCTGGCCACGTTGTTTACGCTAATTGTGCTTATCTTTGGTAATTTTGTTGCGTTTGTAGCATTTTTGAGTAACTTGTGGACATTCTTTTTTCCTTATCGTGGATTCATTGCTAACCAAATTACCTCATATGCTAACTTAGAGAAGAGTTATGCCACCGTATCTGTATGCATTATTGGATTTATTTTATTCCATTTTGTCGTTTCAAGTGATTGGCTGTTGCTTGATATCCCCGATGTGGCTGCGCTTGATGTGCATGTTGACAAGGTGCCTACCTGTCTATTACCCACTACCTCGTCCATACTGGCTCTAGGAGACAGTTGGTCGTTGCTGGAGGGGACGAGGTGCACGGTCCTTGTGGTCGTGCTAGGCTCGAAGAGTGGTTCATGCACTCAGTGTGGAGCGGACTACGGTCCAGCCACCGCCTTGTGTGCGCTCGATTCCCCAAATACAGTGTGCTTGTGTTTGCCTGTGAAGGAGTGTGGGCCGGCTCCGTTGATGAAACGTGGCTCCCATCCACCTGCCTCCCGGTCTTATTCCTTCGGGTTTACACTGGATATGGGGTGTGTGGTTGGAACTGTGGATGGTGCAGCGCAAGCCACCCATGGTCCCTCTGTAGGCGCAGGCGTCCTGTGGCTGTCACTGTGGCCAGCCACAGGACGCCTGCGCCTACAGAGGGACCATGGGTGGCTTGCGCTGCACCATCCACAGCTCCAACCACACATCCCATATCCAGTGTAAACCCGAAGGAATAAGACCGGGAGGCATGTGGATGGGAGCCACGTTTCATCAACGGAGCCGGCCCACACTCCTTCACAGGCAAACACAAGCACACTGTATTTGGGAATCAAGCGCACACAAGGCGGTGGCTGGACCGTAGTCCGCTTCACACTGAGTGCATGGAACCACTCTTCGAGCCTAGCATGGCCACAAGGACCGTGCACCCCGTCCCCTCCAGCAACAACCAACTGTCTCCTGGAGCCAGTATGGACGAAGTAGTGGGTAATAGACAGGTAGGCACCTTAGCAACATGCACATCAAGCGCAGCCACATCGGGGATATCAAGCAACAGCCAATCACTTGAAACGACAAAATGAAATAGAATAAATCCAATAATGCATACAGATACGGTGGCATAACTCTTCGCTAAATAAGCATATGAGGTAATTTGGTTAGCAATAAATCCGCGATAAGGAAAAGAATGTCCACAAGTTACTCAAAAATGCTACAAATGCAACAAAATTACCGAAGATAAGCGCAATTAGCGTAAACAACGTGGCCAGCCAATAGAAGGCTATCCAGACAGGCAAAACAAACCAAATAAACTGGAATAAAATTTATGCAGCTTAAAGAGACCTAGTTTAAGTGTTAGCTGGTTTAGCCCAACTGCGGTGAAGAAGCATCAAGAATGCAACATCAGCCTCAGCATGGGGCACCAACCATATATATATATATATATATATATATATATATATATATATATATATATATATATATATATATATATATATATGTGACGTAAGAGGTAAATACCCTAAGCAAATATTTCGGATCAAGGCGCCTGAGCCTTGACAGAAACGCACGCTCACAAGTAGTTGGTTACTGTTGGAAAATAAGATGGCATCAGCGAGGCAGCTTCCTTACGGCTTTCACTGTCCCGCTCATACGCAAGGCAAGCAAAGTTAATCCACTCAAGTTACTAAATTGGAGGAATTTGAACCGCAATAACCAGTGCACTCGAGACTGGACCTCAACGTGATGCGACGGTTTGTGTACCTCCGACTCATTGAGAGCTCCTCCTACCAAGTCGGTCAATAACTCCAGATTGGAGTTTGGAAATGGGATGGCGTCCATTTCTGTGAAACCGGATCGCTGCATTGCGGACGGACTTTTGAGGCAAAAGCTTTATTTGAGAACCCTAACCGTTCTATCTAGGTTTAGACGCCCCAGCGCACGTGCAACCATGAGTAAATAAATTCATCGTCAATTTCAAGTCATAACCTACATCGACCGTCGCGCAGATGTAAATAGGTCCCTTTACTTACTGTATATAGCAAGGCGGATAAGCGAAAAAATGGTACTGATGACGTTTCCTTTCTTTTCCACCTGTTTACCTTAATCACCTTCACACTTCTATTTCTAATGTTCTTTCTACGACCCCAGTTTCATTGCCACTACAGTTCTGACGTCTGCGGCTACATTCTAGCAACACTCATTGGACTCATGTCATAAGCAGCTCCTTATCAGGACACGCTGTTCTATCTCTGGCGGTATGTAATGTTCGTACCCTAAGGCAGGTAGGTTAACAGGTAGCAATTGCACGCACCGTAAACACATTGCGTATCGACGTATGCTACATGCCCGAAACTAGAATAAGATTGTTGAAATGACCTAGCCCGGCTTATGCTCTCGCTACTGGTCACATGCACCCGGGGACACTGATGCAGCACCCACTGGTCAAACTGGGGTGGGCATCATTCTCTGGCTGATTCATTGTTGGTGCACAAATCAGCACTTGACGCTGTCTATTTGTTATCCCCACTTATGCTCTCACCGAATGACGATACCAAGGACGTTTTTCCACGAACTCAACACTGCAAGTATATCGTTCTTGTTGCTAGGGATATGATCGCGCCAATAGATCGTCTGAGCTCCTCAGATCAGCTAGGTGGCAAGTTTGGACTCGACTTAGTGGGCAAGTCGTTAACAGTTTACCTGCTTTGACTTCCTCCAGAGGTGTAGCAATCAATAATTCAGTTGCCATACCTGAGATACAAAACGACACCCAGTCCATAGTAAAAGGCAAATGGATATCTTCCGCATTGGTTGCTTCCAGGAAAATGCCAGAAAGGACACTCATGGCCACATTTACCGTACTTGAAAAAAGAGATGTCGCAGCATGAATTTCTGTCACCAGTGCCGCTCACAAATTCATAGAAAACAACAGGAACTAGTGCTCTTAAGCCGATAACCACCAGTCGCAATAATGGTGCCTTACTTCATTGTGTGTACTGATGTTTCTAAATTCAAATCCAATACGATAAGGGGTAAACTGATAGACAACCGTAATCAGTAGGACTCCATCTGCAATGCCATCAGTGTCCTTGCTAACCACACCCTAACTCTAGCACACAGAAACGCATCGCGCGTCACTCATTGCACTATGGTGAGCCTCGATTACTTCGAGTAACACTAAATACCAAGGATGAGACGGAGACTATTCTGCTGTCTGTAAACTGATTCCACAGTGCATCAAACGAAGTGCGCATACTACCGAACATC